TTGAAAATGAATCTGTTTTTTCGTTATTACCTGAATTTTCACAGCAACTGACCACCAAATGTAGCACAGGTAGGAAAATCTTTAATAGTATCACGCCAGGGCACTTCATTGCATCTGCATTAGCAAAGTGAATCCTAATAAATTAACAAAATAATAAATTATTCAGCATCAGTAAAACCTCAGAAATATATATACACAATAAAATAACCTCTACATTAGATTAAGAAAGAGTCATGTTTCTCAGATCGGTTGGCAAGGTGAGGACTTCTCGCATGTGTTATCAAAGACCATTAAAATCCTTTTCTTACTTGCCCTTTTATCCCTGACTGGGGATATTTGTTTGAAAATACCTTAATGACTCTTATCCACAAAATGTCCTTATCTAACCAGATATGAGTCACTTCAGATGAAGCCACATTTCTCTTAGCAACCGAAGAATCAGTCCTAGCAACAAGACAGCTGGAGGATTTTGTTTTTACATAGTCACCACGGACAGTACATTCTGCTTTTCGCTTTCCTGTGGCGTTGCTGTTTCCACGTTGACTTCACACTGAACAAGGAGTAAGTCACTCGCTTGCTCATAGCAAAGCCAGCGCTGGCTGGGCAGAGCACGGTCACTCCACCTCTGACACTACTGCCTTTACAAAGGAAAACTCAGAATTCACACTGCTTCCTGGCTGGAATTACTGCAAAGAAATGCATGAGGAAGCTGATGGCTTCCAAACCCTTGGCTCTCCCAGGAGAAACCATAATAGAGAATGATAGCAAAGCATTAGCTCCGAAGGCCCACGTCTCAGCCTTTCTTAGCACCTGATCACACTCACAAAAGTTGGAAGTTGGACAGAAGGTACCTTGCAGCTAGTTCTGTCCTGTATTTCCTTGGGAAGAGTAATTGTAGGGAGAAATTGTCACTGTGAGCGTTGCCTGCTCGGGTCTCTCCAGGACTGCTGGGAAAATCTCAGTCCGGAGGATGTCAGTTGTCTTTCAGTATGACCATGCACATAATAATGGAGAAAATGTTGAGAAAACTCCGGGAGTCAGAGAACGGTAAAAGATTTCAGCGTTTCTAGGTAAAGCCTGAGGAAGCAATGCCAGGATGGCACTTGTGAGCAGGCTGGTGTTATTGTGGCTGCTATGTCCCAGTCCCACACTTGGGCAGGGAAATGCTTACCATGTGTGTTTTGATACTACTAAAAAATGCCAAGTGCAAGTAGAAATAGTAAATGCACGTGCTCTTTCACCTGTGCTTCCTTTGTGTCTCTTCCTGCAGGGGCTATAGACATATTGCATGCCGGCTTGATTCCCTCACTTGTGTATCAATTGAAGACAGAATTGGATGAAATCCAGGAGCTAATCCTGGACACACTCGCCAACTGCCTCTGTGTGGAGGCTTCTGAAGCTCTAGCAAGTGGTGCCATTACCACCCTGAAGGAAAAGCTTGCACATCCATCAGTGGCCATCAGAAGCAAAGCAGCTTGGGTCCTGCTGGGAATCAGGTAAAGAAAGTTGTGTATGATAGTTACTCTTAAGAAAGTATCTGTCTCATAACTGAGTCAAGTGCAGTAGTTGACAGCTGTAGCAGGAGGTCCATGGCAGCGCTCTCACCATGACGGAAGGGTGGCCACAGGAGCTGGGCATGAGAAGAGGCTGTAGGTAGTTCACACAGTGTGAGAAAGCAACCAACCAATCTCTTTTGCACAGTATCCATCCAGAGGGCAAAACCATGGTGTTTGAAGAAGACGTCATTCCTGTGCTGGTGAGCCTGTTAGAAGATACGGAGCCTGAAGTGCAAGCCAAAGCAGCAGGAGCACTGATGTTTGCCACCGTTACACCTCAGGGTGAGAGAAAGAAACAGTCCTGCTTTCTGGAATCCTGTTTTAAGGCACCAGCAGCAATCGGAGTAGGACATGTCTTTAGATCTGTCTTGAGCAGCCTCATTCACCCCGTAGCGTGTGCGGACTACAACGTAGCCGCAGTTCATTCACTTCAGTTAGGTCAGGAGGATAAATCTTGATGTGTGTGCTGTTTGCCTCCACAGCGCTGCTTCAGATGGGGAAATTTTCACTTCAGGTCAGGGCTTCACACAGAGCCACATACCCTGAGCCACCAGTCCTCAGAGGACACTGCTGCGTGGAAACTTCTTCCTGTGGTTAGAGGGAGTTTCCTTCTCCGAGCCAGGAAAGAAATTAGTATTAATAATGTCTGTAGTTCTCCCAGGTCAGCTGCATGATGCTGAAAACACTAGCTGGTAAATTTTCAGTGTGATGAGTGAGTAATTAGACATAAAAGACTCTTAATAACAGCAACTGTGTTTCAGTCCTCCTCTGCTACTGTCCCCCTAGCTTCAAAGGCCGACGCAGGAGTGGAGCTAAATGTGTGAAGTGTTTTTAGAAAGAAGAGACTACAGGATGATCCTAAGGGCATCTGGTCCCCAAAAGATTTATTCTATCATTTGGTGTTTCATACATTCTCTGACAATTTTTTTTTGCAAATAATATGGTAGTGTGGGAGGCAAATTAATTAGGAAAGATTTTTTTTTTCCCCTAAAAGATAGACCTGGCAGTTAGCTATGGTCTTTGGTGGAGAAGCACATCCAACCTCTCTGCGCTCCACACTCAGGGTGTTCAGAGCTGCAGCTGGGCAGGGAGTCAAAAGTGGCAATTCCAAGTTGTTTCGTAACGTGCAACAAGAACACGCTGTGAAGCCAGTTTGTTTTTCCGCAGGGAGGTACTCGGCGCTGGGTGCCGAAGCGATTCCCGCTTTGCTGAAGCTGGTTGCTGGGGAGAGGAGAGAAGCGCGTCTGAGCGCTGTCAAAGTGCTCACGATGCTGGCCGAGCTCCCCGAGGGCCGCCAGATCCTGCTCCGTCACGTGGCTGCGTTTGAGCGGTGTCTGAACGACCCCTCTGAGGCAGTGAGGAGAGCGGCCGAAACCGCCATCCGCGTCATCAAGTGGACACCATGAGACGTGACGGTTCATAGAGAGCTATTGCCCTCTGTTGTTACCTTGTTGTAAGAGTTGCATTACTGTTTAAGACCTTCAAAACCCAAACTGTCTTCCTCACTTACCCGGAACAGTTCCTCCTGAAATGTCATTTTTCCACAGTTTCATATCTCTGACAGGCCACAGGTAGGACAATGTGGGGAAAAAGAAAAAAAAAGCTAGCAAGTCTAGAATTCACCACTAGAAGTTATTTCTGGTGATCTCAAGATCTGCCTGTAATACAAGAAACAGATCCTTTTTGTTTTCTTCATAATGTTCTCTCCTTTTTTATTATTATTATTTCAGTGTATCAAACATGAATCAATAATTATATGAAGCGAGAAAGGTTCCTAATTAACTTCTCCAGCCGTCTTGTCTATGCCAGGAAACCAGCCATCAGCAGTAAGCACTTGCTTTAACAGTGATAGTTTATATTCCTCTCTACCTTGCGTTGTGGCCACTTGAGAGCTAATAAATGCCTCTCTTCAATGTCTTTTGAGTGGAAAATTCTGCATGTAGCTCTGCTTTTTTTTTTTTTTTGTCAGAAACATCATAAAATTCTTGTGAAAATGGCCCCAATTGCCCCAGGCCAAGAACTGGCCTGGCCTAACTCAGGGCAGGAGGGCAAGGAGCAGGGAGGCTGACCCCAGCACTGGCACCCAGCACAGGCTGGACTCCAGCATCAGCTAGTCTGTGATTAATGTTGTCTAAACAGAGCCAGGAAGGTAATCACAGCCCAGAACTGAAAATTCAGTTCTCTACATTGGAAAAACATGTTTCAATTTTTACCATTTTTCTAACCCAACATTTTTTTTAACCTTTCATTTCTTGGAAGTGAGAATAACATAAATTGTTCAAGCTGTTTGAAGATGCTGAGCTGCCTGACGAGACATAATCTGAAGGAAATGAGGTAGTTGCTGCCCTCAGAGCTGTGGGGCAGCGGAACGAGGAGCCGCGCCACAGTGCTTCACCCGACAGGCTGCACATCTCTCTGCAGTTGCTAGTGCGTGGTGAGGAGGCACCACGCAGAAGGTGGCCTGGAGGAAGAGCTGAAGCCCCAGCACAAATGCTGGCCGTGCCCAGGGAGGGGTCACGATGCGCTGACAGGCAGGCCCGTTAGCTCAGGTGAAACGCGGTGGTGTTGGCGCTGTTCGTGAGGCGGCTGTAGCTAAATGAAATTTCGTCGTCTGTGCAAAGAGGTCATTTGTCAGAGCTGCTTTTGCACTGCAGAAAGCCAGCGCTGATCCGCAAACTGAGGCACCTTTGTGCAAAGGGTGACCCGGTGCTAGCCTCTGTGGGGGTGATTAATGTTAAAAGGTTTCTTTTCCCTAACCAAACAAAAGAGAAGATTGCCTCTTCTGTAAAAATGTAATTTAAAAGTATGGAGTCAGCTGGATTCATTCCCTCTGGGAAGGATCCTGGAAGATCTCTGCCTTTTAAACACACTTTGCATCCTTAGGGCACTCATATGTAATAAATATTGATGCCTGAGTGCATCCAGCTCAATAGGAGAGCCAGGCAGCTTAATAACATGGCAGACATCAGTGAAGGGAAAGGACAGGGATTTCGCCTACAGAAGTGCTGCAAGAGCATGCAGTAACAACGGTCATTTTAGCCCAGTTCCAAACATGGGTCATAGCCTTCCCCCAGGTAACTCAGGAAGGAAACTTCAAAGAATTAGCAAAATAATTAGCTTGTTTAGATATAGGAGTAAGGCACTCTAGAGTGAGGTGCTCTAATGAGGTGATTTAGCCCGTTCAGATTCATCCTTCGATTCATCCTTCCTAGGCATCTACCCAATCACTGCTTTAAAGACAACATAAACAGCATCCAGACAAGACTTACATGTTATCAATATTCCTGTCTCATGCACACGCACAGTGCAAACCTGCAGCTGTGCCATAACCAAACAAACTCAGAGGACCCTCTGAGCAGCGGTCGAACCTTCTGCCAACATTTGAACCTGGGCTTCAGCTAGGGCCACATTTCAGACCTAATCTGAACAGTTTGCTAAGGATCTACTGCACCCTTCCCCGAAATGAAAGCTAAAATTCCCTAACCTTGGAAAGGAGAATGACAGTACCTGATTAATCAGGAGCTGAATTCTCAGCAGCTGACTCAACCTGCTAAGAATTCATTTATATTATTCGTGGTCATCCAGACAGTTTCATCATTTCACCATATTGTCCTCTGTGTACCAAAGCACAACCAGCTCCAAGAAAGGCTTTCTTATCTGTTTTAATCCACTTTGATGCCAAAATCTAGGCACCAAATAAAAGGATAACCTTATCCCAGTGTTGACAGGTGACAATGTCTCAAGAGGCTTGATTTTGACCCAGAGATAACTAAAGCCCAAATTTAGTTTTTATGTTCCATTATATTATCTAAAAATCCATCATTTTGTTGACACCAAATACTTTAAAATATACAAATACTTGAATACATACAGGTCTTCATAGTCCCTTAAATATAATTAACTCCATGGTCTTCAAAATACTCTATCAGTGTATTAATTGCAAGAAAATAGTTTGCACTGGTATTTATAACATATTGATTTGATCAGTCCTATGCAAAACCTTTCAGTATACTACAGGGATTTTACTGGACATCTGGGATTTTGAGACGATGCTGTGAGAAGACTGTGAAGTGACAGCGATTGCATCTGCAGAACAGCAGCTTTGTGGTGGAGCAGGTAGTGAGACACGGTGCTAGCTGGGTTCTCCCGCTGTCGGGAGCATCCCGCTGCTGCGCCCCGCGGGACGACACACTGCACGAGTTGGTGGAGACCTGCGGCACGTGGCGACACGGAGCTTCGTGCAGCAACCGACGTCTTCGTTTTATAGTTGATTCCCCAAAACACTGAATTAGATGGTAAGAAAGTCTCTTGGTTCCTTGTTTTGAAGCATCACATCTGTTTTTTCCTGTATCTTCAGTTGGTTTCAAACATCCTAATCAAGCGAAGACAATGGTACTGGTTTCGAGATGCCCCAGCTGTGCCCATTCTCCTCCAGGAACTGCAAGCTCATCCCGTCACACTTGACTGTCACACGAATTAGACTTCTCAGTGCAGCCTTCAGAAGAAAGATCTGTAGTCTTGCAGAAAATCAGCGTAAAGCCCTTAAATGCACTTTGATATTAATATTAATCTACATCATCCCCACAAAAAACAAGTCCTAGCAACTTTGGGTAGAGATCAGTTTGACACACCAAGCTGAAAATGACTCCACAAATATATATATATATACACACACACACAGATATATATATATTCACACATATACACACATACCATATATGTATTTATTTGTTTTATATATATATATATACACACTGTGTATTGCATGTATGTATATAATGTGTGTATTTTGCATAAATAAGCCTTCCCATTCAAGTATAAATACACATTAAAACATATAGAGGGGGCACCTTTTGAAGTTCACCTTAAACATATAACCTCTCATAATTTATAATTTTCAGGATTATTGAGACCTGCATTGCCTAATTTCAAACCCAAATCAATTCAGATGTTTACTGTTCCACTGAATACTGAGAAGAAACATGACGAAATACATCAGAGAAAGTGAGAGCAGGGGAAAAGTGGTAAAAAACAGACATAGTGTCAAATACACACATATATACATTTATACTTGGGGTATCCTGTGCCTCAAGAGAAAAAAAAAAAAGTGGTTGTTTATCTGGAATCCATAGAACAGCCTCTCTTTTTTTTTTTTCTTTTTGTTATTGAATTATTGTTAGGAAAAATAAATCTGCATGTTCAGAAAAGCCATGAAAAATCAAACTCACCCCTTTAAGATTCATATGGCTCATGCAGCCTTCGTCTGCACCTCAGACATGAAATGTATCGTAAGAAGGAGAAGGTTGGATGGAAATTCTGAACCAGGACTGATCCTGCACTGATCCAATGTCTAAACAGAAATTCTTTCCCCTGAAATCCCAGTAGCCCTACTTGTTAGGCTGTTGAAATTATAATCACGAAACCAATGAATGAATCATTCTATTTTTTTTACAAACTTAAACAATAAAAATACCCAGCGTATCTAAGTCTGTAAATTTACAAGTCATTGTTTTTGCTGAACAATACAGTACAATTTTAGAATTGTAATCAGAGGTTTATGCAAAATAGGCATGACAAAATACAGCCACAGTCAATAGGATGATGCCATTGATGTTGACAACATTTCTCCAAAGTGGCACTTCTGTAGTGTCAGTGAGTTTCTTCTTCATTGCTTCCTCTTCCTCTTTGCTCAGTTTGGGTCCTTTTTGCTGATCTAAGCCACAGAACCAGTTGTAAGCTTTCTTTAAGCATCCTGGCTCTTCTTCATTTTCCTCTGTAACTAGATGTAAAAAAACACACTGGTCATGAAATGTAGACATGGACCATCATGGAAGTGTCAAAAGAGCTCAGCAACTGAGGACAATCCTGTATTTATTATTGCAGCTCTGATTTATGGTCTTAGCCACATGAAACGATTTAGAACAAGCAGAAGAATCAGGTGAATAATGTGATTTCACAGCTCACTTGAAAAAATAATTAAAAAAAAGAGTGATTTTTTATATGTTGCAGGAGGCCTTTTGCAGCTAGAGAACTGATCTGGTGTTGGAGAAGCAGGCCACACTGCAAAGCTTATCGCCATTTTTCAATACTTCTAATTATAATCCAAATAGATGACTGTGAGGATTCCTCTGAAATGAACTTGGAAGCAGAGCCAGGAGCCCGGCAGGGAGAGCAGGTGCTGCTGCCCACATGGAGGCCTCGCCGTTCACTTCCATGCTGCCCAGCACTGCATCCTTGCTGTTTCAATCACCATATTCAAGTGAATTCTCATTGTATCATTCCGAGTGCAAGACTCACACACAGCTCTGGCAACCCACGCCACCCCAAACTGCAGCTTCTCCACTATTTTAGTCTTAGAACCACTCCTCACCCTAAAGACAATGAAATTTTCCTGTTCAAATCAGCT